CGGCTCATTGGGATTCATTAGTTGTCGTGAGTGATGTTCTATAAAGGGAGTGGATTTCATCTAATCTCAAATCGAAGGTTCTTCAAATAGTTGTTCCAAACACTTATATCAACACTATTTTAAAAGAAGCTCATGATTCCCCATCTGGTGGTCATTTTAGTGTTAACAGAACATTACAAAGAATTTGAAGAAGATTTTATTGGGCTTTTTGTAAAAAAGATGTTAAAAATTGATGTAGATCTTGTTCAATTTGCATTACGAAGAAAGGTCCATCAGATGAGGGTCACAATGAGATGAAAATTTATAATGTAGAATTACCTTTCGAACGAGTTCAAATGGATATTCTAGGTTTTTTCCCTATTTCTTCTTTGGGAAATAAATACCTTTTAGTTGTAACAGATTGCTTCCCTAAATGGGTTGAAGCCATTCCCCTTTCTAACATGCGAACAAAGACTGTTGCAGAAGTATTTGTTCGTGAGATTGTGTGTAGGTATGGGGATCCTCTTGAAGTTCACACAGATCAGGGTCGAAATTTGGACGCTAGGTTATTAATGGAATTAGCACATTTGATAGGAATTCAGAAGACTAGAACTACACCATTATACCTACAGTCGAACGGACAAGTAGAATGACAAAAGTAAGACGATTCTTGACTATTTGTTTAAATTTGTATCAGAAAATCAAAAAGATTGGGATCGTTGGGTTTCACTGTATTTTTTAACTTACAGATCCTCGACACATTCGACAACAGCAGTTAGTCCAGCTGAGATGTTAACTGGTAATGATTTGCGATTGCCGTTAGATTTAATGCGTGGTTCTTCACGCGACAATGGATATTAACCCATGGATATTAACACCTACATATAAAAACTAATGATTAAACTCAACAATATACACCACTTTGCAAGACGAAACATCAGAAATTCATCCCTTCATACGAAGAAAATCTACGATAAAACGACGCGTCATTCCCCCCTCTTGTTCAAAGATGTTTGTCAAAGTTTTGACAAGTTTTAGAAAAATCATAATGATGATATTACTGGTGATATGCAAGAAAAATGTCAACTTACAAGAGACAGGCCCTCTGGTTGATTTCTAGAAGAACAGCCCGCTTGTCTAGAAGATAGTTTTTCTGGTAAAGAAATAATTGAAGATTCAAGATTGAATTTCAAGATTCAAGATTTTCTGATTTGATGATGGTTTTGGAATTATTCTGCTATCAAGAGACGGGCCCTTCGACCGGATTAGTCCAAGGATCAGTCCGCTTGAGAGTTAGAAGATTTTAAGTGGATCTGCGTTAATCGTTGCGATAATCTGGCAAGTGTTCGGCGTGTTCTTCGAATTGAGCATTAATTGCTTTTATGATGCATCAGCTTGCAATTCTATTTTCTAACCTCTTTTTAATTCGCATGCGATTGCATACGACGCGAAATATTTACTGCCATATGGCAGTAGTACGCGTACACTATGAGTGTCATCTATTATACTACTTGGTATTGAAGAATGGTTTACACTAGTTATTGTTGTCGTAGAAGTCGTAAAATTTATGGTTGTCGCAAGATTCCGTGTGTTTCCTAATACAAGAACTGGTTGATTTTCTGGAAATCTGTATATATCTACGTTGACATTCGGTACCGCAAATGGCTCGCGCGAATAAACATGGTTCACATCATCACGCGTCGTATTCGCACCTTATGTAGTAGATATATTAATGTGAGCGAGCTCGCACGTTAACTTTCAAAATGGCTAGTGCCATTCACTTTTGATCCTTCTGTGAAATAAAGGGTCTTGAGGGTAGTTCTTAAATTCGCATGAATCTCTTCAAGTAATGTTTTCGATCCGAAGAATAAACAACTAAGGTTGTCGCATCTTATAATGGCCATTTTTTCGTCTTGCTTTTCTATCGCTACAAAATCTTCCACCGAATAGTCGCAGTTTAACCTTCGAAACAATCAATCACCGTACTCGCACAAAGTATCATCTTGTTTTAATTCAAGTTGTAGTAGTGCACTGAATACATCTGTATTCGATAGCGATTTTATCTATAAAGACAAATTCTTATTTATATTTTATTTAGATATTGTGAGATCAGCTAATGTTCATTTCGATGTATCTCGAGCCCGATATGCTTGAATTAATTAAAGGAAAAAAATGAAAAGAGATGTAATACTTAGAACTGGAGCGTGTCTAACATAAAAAAGATACCTGATATGTATAACTATAAACAAAATCATATGCACGCGGCATAAATTAGCTGGTTAGTCAACGAATGAAAATCGACGAAGTTGGTAATATGCATGCTACTGTAAATGCTGCCTCGAAGGAGAGAGACCGGCAAAATTTTAAACATTGGAATTTTTCAAGGCTTAATATATGCATAATTTCGCCACGTGATCTCTGTAATCACGCGCAAGGGAACAATATACAATATACCTCATACGCATAACACCCGCGCTCTTCTTATTATTTTATACCATAGACACTCTTGCATTCAATTACATAAAAGCTAACTATGTCGCGATTTCTCTCTCACCAAAAATCTGCTGCGCACCAGCATCAGAACGATTGGGTGCCAAAATCTAACGGTGATTTCGGCCATTGACATATATATATTATATAATGAGAGGAAGAAAGAAATATCCAGTTTATTGCAGGCGTGCAATAGCTGTACGAAGCTATGCCCGATAGATCGGAAACATCGTAGGTTACACAGCAGAAATTAGTGAATTTTTTGTATTCCTAATTTAATTAACAATCTATATGTCAACAATAATTAAATGACATAATAACAATACTTTTTTTTCATTACAAAAACTATATTAAATAAAGATACTTCATCATTGATCTGTACCAATACTTTTATTTTACAGAGCTATATTATACATGTATACATGCGAATTTATATTTCTTAAATCTTGATATTCTTGGTATTGTTTGAATTAATTTCTTCGCTAAGCAATTAGGATGTTTCGTTAATCGTATAATGTACTTTTACAAGTAATTTCTGTATCTTATTTAACAGTCCAAATCATGACGTCCTTTCCGATTATTTCATTTGTAACAAACCATGATGTATTTATGATAAATCTTAAGGCTTTATTTGGGAATCTTTCAATGATATCTATAATTTATTTTGTTGTTGTATCCCAGAGTTGAATACCATATATGGAACTGCCTTAAATATGCTCTTATATATTAATAGTTTATTTACAATTAACATTTTAGATTATCTGCTCAGTAGCGAGTGGAATTTTTTAAGTTGTAGATTTTGTTATTTGTGTTTGATCCATATATGTTCTCATCACGTTAAACAGTGAAATATTGTTGAAGAAGTTGGAAAAAGAGGGGGTGAAAGATAGAATATTAAGGATAATATAGGAAATATATATGGAAACAACATGCGAAGTGATAATGGGAAAAGGAATATCGGAGAGCTTCAAAACAAGGAAAGGAGTAAAACAAAAATGCCCTCTAAGCCCAACATTCTTCAACATATTCTTGAATGACATTGACGAGACGTAAGAGAAAATAAAGGAAGGAAGCACGGTAATACAGAGCCACAAGACATATGAATTGGTATTTGTCAACGACATAATCATGATAGCGGATACGGCAGAAGGGTTGCATGAAATGCTAAGAAGTTTGGAAAAATACAACGAAAAGAATAAAATAGAACTAAATGTCAAAAAGACAAAAATAATGGTGGTCAGAAGAGCAGGTAGACTTACGAGAAGAGAGAAATGGTTCCATGAAAAGAAGAAGCTAATTATAGTAAATAAGTACAAAAATCTAGGATTCTGGCTCTCAGCAAAGAAAGATACGGAACGCACATCAGAAACATGCTTCAGAAAGCACAAAAGATAATCAATAGTGTATAGGGCATAATGAAGAGAGTCCAATTAAACACACTGGATAGAATAATGCTGTTACTGAATGCTATAGGAAAGGCGGGATGCTTATACGAAGTGGAGATATGGAGATGGAGAGGATGCAAGCGAAGATGACAATGGGGTTAAACAAGAACACACCAGACTACATACAGAAAATGGAGGCAGGAATAGAAAGCTTACATACAGAAACAATGAAAAGAGTGCCAAGGTATACAGGCGAGATTTTAGAAATGGAAGAGTATAGACTATCACAGATATGTCTAAAAGAAAAAATAAGGGGATTGAAGAACAATATCTCAATGAAATGGGGAGAGGAAAAAAAGAGAATGGCGGAAATAGCAGGAAGTACAATGCTCGAGAGAATTGTTCAACGAAGGGATGAACAGGGAAAAACTACAGGAAATAATAGAAAGAATACTGATGATATAAGCGGAACAAGCAATACAGATAAGATGGAACAAGATTGACAGTTCAGGATTCTGCAGACATTACAGAGAATAGAAGGAAAACTTAGAAAGGGAACAGTACTGGGGAGAGAAAGAAAGTTATGGAACGATGAAAGAAAAATAGGCTAGAATAAGATGCGGTAATTTAGGAACAGTAGGGAGAAAAAGAATTCAAGAACAAGTTCTGCATAGCCCGCGGAGAAGAGACTGAAAGATCTTCAACACATGTGGATATGCGAAAGAGCAATAAATAGCATAAAGAAGGAATGAAGCAAAGAAGAAGACAAATGGAGAAAAACAGTACAGGAGAGAGCTAATAAGAAAACTAGGAAGACTTCTGAAAGGCAAAATAAATACAGGAACATGTAAATACGAGAGAGCATTCGAGAGACTGATGGATAAGCACAAGAGACAATTGAAGGGAGAACAGGACAAGCAAAAATAAAAAAGAAGAAAATAGAAACTCCGAAAAAAAAACAGGATATATGTGCAAATATATGTAAATATATGTAAATTTTAAAAAATGTAAAAAAGAAGTATTATATGAAGCTGGTAAAGTCAATATTCAATAATGTATACTATTACGGGAATAAAAATATTATTATTATTATTAATATATAAATAAAAATTATAAATCTGAGGTATTTATATGAATTTATCTTACCATCTGGTAATTCATAAAGTTTCCTTGGTAATGATGAAAAATAGGGATGATGTAATGCATCTTCAGCTCCAATTCTTTCATCCGGATTTAATTGAAGCAAAGAAGATGCCATATTATCAACTTCAGCGATATCATATAATCTAGGAAATGATAAACCAAGCTTTTTCGAAGGATAAAAAACAAATCGATTTGGTTTATAACCTGGTAAATGTGTGACTGTGGGCCATGTTTCTTCTGTAGGTGTACCCAGAATTTTAAAAATTTTATCAAGTTGATCATATGTACAACGTACACCAGGAAATGTTGGTACTCCTGTTAACATTTCTACAAATATACAACCAACACCCCACATATCCAAAGAAGTTGAATATTCAGTAGATCCCAGAAGAACATCTGGTGGTCTATACCAAAGTGTGACCACTTCATGCGAGTAAGTATGTGATGGAACAGACTTTGCTCTAGCCAACCCAAAATCAGCTAGTTTCAGCTCTCCAATTTCACTGATCAACAAATTTTGAGGCTTAACGTCACGATGCAGAACTCTCCTATAATGAAAAAGTAATATATAATATTCAATTTATTAAAAACTAAACGAATTTTATCAGTATTACAGACTTTTGAATTAATCATATTATAATACAGTTAAAACTGAATAATACTCTCGCATTTTTATCCATATTGAAAGAAGATAAATCATTGTTAGAATTTATAGTTCTAATCCAAAACTTTTTTGTTCACGGTCAGCCTTATATTTTACAAAATACACAAAGAACAATTGAAGTACAATCCATAATACAATTTTGCACAATAAGAATTATTAAAAAGGTCAACTAGATTCTAAGTCTTAAAAATAAATTGTTATTTAGCTCTATATATTTTTAAATAAATTTAACGGGGAAAGCGATGACGTTGTCAGCTTCAATCATATTCATTCATTCACAAAAACTATGCCCAATTTTTTAAAATATTTCACATAGACTATTTTTCAAAAATATGTGTCAAAAACAGAAAAAAACGCTAAAATAGCATATAAACGCGAAGAATCAAGCGTCTAATGACCTAGTGATTTATTTCTACATATTGTATATCTATAGAGTACACTTTTGGCCATCTTTATCAGTAACCTACTTCGTCTCACAGATAGTATGCAATGCTAACATGATTTTACGAGGGACGAAATTCGAAGTTCCCTCCCGACGTAGATATTACCCCTCGAGACGAAGCCGAGGGGGACTATTCGCCGAAAAGGACCTTCGGCATTCGTCAAGAGTGATGTATATTATTTTTCTTTCTACCCGATCGAAAATTCGTGTCCCATCGATATAATTATCCAAAACGCAAGAGATACGGCCTAGCCTTCTATTCATTTACGTATGCACCGCCTTCTCGATTTGGTTCGTTGCAACAGCGGTTTTTACATACCTATGAATTTTTATTGAAAAACGAAGAGCCTTTCAGCCTCCGCCAATATTTACGATCTGAGCGAAGCGAGGGTTGTTGGATAGCGAACGCTGAAAAGATTGGAGCGAAAAAGAAGAAAAGTAGAGAGGAAATACATTAATGTACATTTAAATTGCAAATTCTTATTTGTTTATTTTCTTAGTCTGTTACATCAGCTTTGTAGTAATAATTATTATTAATACGTAACATACTGTCTTGATTCCCTTATAGTTTTCTTAAATGATAAAATTTGTAATAATGGAAAGAAGGGGAATAGTGAGAGTTGGAAATTCACTTAATTTTAATTATATTCAGCAACGTTTTGTTAGCACATTTGCTGACCTCTTCAGGCTTTATTAACAGAAAAACAACAGATTATTAACAGTAAAGTTGCAAATGTAATTTTAATTGCATATAATTATATATATATATATATATATATGTGTGTACCTGATTTCTCACGTAGTCAAATTATTATAAGCTAAACCGAATAGCTCGTAGTCAATCACGTTCCAATACAGTAAGAAATCAAGTATTTCAACACATACAAAATATATTCTTTATCTATCATCCCTTCCACATCAATCTTAATAAAAGCTTATAAATATGACTAAGATATTGTATATCCACTTTTCTATTTAAAGTATTTTTATGTTAACCGATGTGCAACATTTCAGATATTCTGCGTTTCTTATAATTCTTTTCATAATCTAATATCTTAGTGTTACGTGACGGACCATTTTCTTTTTTTGTACAACCGTATGCTTGATTAGATTCTCGCTTTCGGGAGTCCCACTCGAGTGCGCGTCTTGGCGGGAGCGAATGGGAGACGCTGAGCACAGCTACTGAGGTATGCTACGACAGCATGTTGCACTCAGCGTCATAGTCTAAGTAATACGAAACAATTAAAATGTATGCACTAGAGAGAGATGGAGTGTGAGGAATGAGAGAGAAAAAAAGATATATAACCAAACGGTGAAAACGAGCATATTCATTCCTCAGTTAGGAGTGAGCGCTAAATTAAGAAGGCTGCATTTTTCCTACTAAAATTGAATCTATATTAGAGTTTGAGAATATAAGAGTTTAAGTTATAATTAAGTATTAGAAGTGTCGAGTACATTCGTTTTAATAATTTTGTGTAAACGAAAATTATAGGAATTATCATTTTATTGTGTGTTGTCATATTATTGGATAAAAAAATATATTGGACTAGTTAATCTGACCAGATACAAAAAAAGTGATTGCTCACATAACGAAGCAAACAATATTTCGGACCAATTTATATTTACAATATTAAAACCAAGTGAGTACCACTTTTTATGTAATAAAAAAACATAATAGACAACGCGAGGTGAAAATTACGCGTCTATCTATCTCTCTCTATTTTGCTTAACTTATTTATGTTGTGAAACCGACTAGAATAAATATTATAAATATAAACGTCTATAAGTGTATCCATATGTTTCCCCGTGATATTAAAGAAAACATTATTACATTTTTCTTTTCTTTAATAAACAAGCGAAAATTATGCTAAACGTCCGATTAAATATTTTACAATCGCGATTTCGAGTGCCGGATTATAATTAATAGGGATTTCATTATTGACGCGCGAACGGGCCGGGGTGCCCGAAAGCCTGACTGCCGCCCGAGTCTAAGGTCGCTCTACTGTTAAAAAGGCCTACATACGGGGCAAATTTACCTCACACGAATTGCCACCTTGTAACGGTCCTATTATGAGCTAGTTTATTATGTCACTGAATCACCGTAACCCGTCAAACGCATGTATCTGTTTACAAAAATCAGCACATTAAACGGCGCCACTCCACCGATCATTCGATTGTCTTAGTACAAGAGTCTAATTTTATAACCAAATAAGGACCGTGACGTCACAGAGTAATAGATATAGATATAATGATTATTATTATTCGAGAAAAATATGTTAATTAGATATAATTTTGATACAACAAAGTATTTCTTATATAGATGTTAGTACGTAGATTTAGAATATAGTAATACGAATTGCGTTTAATTATTAAATAATAATGGATTTTAATATGCAAAGTTAATTTATTTAATACGCTAAAAATATGAATTATTAGAAAAATGTAAATAGTCCATATTCAAAATGAAGAATATGAGTAAGAATTGGTTTCATTAATAGCAGCTTAATAATAACTGTTATTAATAAATAAGCAATTAATAATTTTTTTAAACAATAAGTTATATATAGAACGAAAGCGTTGATTTTATACTTAATAATGACAACTTTATAATTTATAAATCTTAGATAATTAATCTAATAATTGCGTTATAAGATTATAGAAAAAACCGTTACAAATATGAAAATTTGTTATAATTCAAATGTTGTTAACTAATTTGAATATTTCTTTTTAAAAAATACTTCTAAAATTGATAAACTATAAGGTTATGTAAAAATTTAATAATTTTCTATTGTAAATATTGTAAATTACACTAAATCAACAAATAACGAATTCTTTAAAGTTTCATGTGTTAAAAGATCATTATTAATGTTTATTTACTTGTAAATTAAGAAAACTCATTTCTTAAAATTCGCGAATGTTTCTCGAATATTCGAAAACTTCTCGAAGAAAACGCTCCTGCGAAAATAGGCGGGAAAATTTGTGTATAAATACGCCTACTATTGCACAGGCTGGTATTCACTTCTAGCCTTGCAAAGTGAGCGCATGAGACTGAATAAACTTGGCTAATACCTAAGTTCTTTCTCTTATTGTGATTACATGAGCAAGACTTTTCCTTTCCTATAATTCGAGCTCAACTTATAGAACATCTCGCGCTATAAGAAAATCGGGCCAAATTATATCCAATTCCAAGAAGACTTTAGCTCTGCTTATGGGACAATTCGCACCATTAGAAACTAAGGCATAGTTTGACTTTCCTTAAAACCTTAGCCATATTCGCATATATTTAATTTTTCAATTTATTAGTATCACCTTATATTTGATTTTTCAATTTATTTGACAAGTAGAGTAGATTTATTAGGTACGAATTCTTACTCATTAGCGTAACTAGATACGAGAGTTTGAATTATTTATAAGTGATACGAATATCACAGTTTTTTGGACAATATAAGCCGAGTGGTCAACACAAACGAGTATAGGACATTTTAGATTGACTAGAGAGGGAAAGCATTAGTGCCAGTGTTACTGATTCTGATAGCGAGATTGGCATGAAACGGACAAGTTCCTCTCGGCGATCCTTATTATTCTCAACATGAATGGAGGATAAAGACCCAAAAAACGTCCAAGACAGTACAGATGACAGAGCTCCAATAGAAGACCCGCGACGTAGTGGGCTAAAGAAAGAAACCGAAACGGAAGGAGACAACTCAAGTGATGGAATTTAGATCGATAAATCGGAATTTACTGAACGAATAGAGTTAGAAGATAGTGGACTTCAAACCAGCGAGAACTCTGGAGAAGATGATGAGTTAGCAGAAAACGAAAGTTCTACTAAAAGATGCGAAGAACGAGCACCAGCACAAAGGACTAATTTATCGGCAAACGAAGTGTGGAAATTAGCGGAAAAATTCGAACCTAGTTTGCGAAGACATAAAAGTTTGGATAATGAATCATACTATTGCGATGACATGGGTCTTGCGCGGGACAACCGTACTATAGAAATGCCTCCTCATTTCTCAGATGGGGACGAGCCCCCGAGAGAGCTACAAGAGACACTATGGAACCTTGACCCATATGATTGAATAAATGATTCTGATGAGGTAATGTCGAATAGAATAACGCGGTTAGTAGAGGCGAAGTTAGAAGAAGATTCGCAAAAATTAATGGAAACCAATCTAGAACATGACAGTGAGTCAGACACAGACCGTCTGGACGAAGATGAAAATCAACGTCTCTCAGATACGACTAAAGGAGCAAGTCCTGAAAGAATTAACCTGTTAACCGAGCGGGATGTATAAATACGTCCAAAGTAAACAACAATAAGTACGGGTAGGACATATGAATACGTCCTCGATATTTATATTGTGCCCTGGAACGGGCGGGACGTATATTTTACTACTACTATGGTAATACGTCATTCATACACGTCTTACAAGGGAAGGCAG